CATTTATTCAACAATTTCAACAGCAGATATTTAATAAAGAAACGAATAAATTTGTTGTTTTTTCAGTTAGTTATTATAAATTAATCTGATGCATAACGAATATATGACATGAATCTAGTATTTGTATTGATGATCTCACATATGATTGACTAAGGTTAAACATGAGATAATAGTCTATTATTTCTTATCCCATATGATTTCCTTTGATTCATCTAAAACTTTGATCAAAGACTGTGTATATTTAATCTAACATTGAATAAAAACTAAGTTCGAAAACACAATGTTGTGGCTGCAGTCGAATGTAGATAAATTTTCAGTTCATTCACGCCCGCACACCCTTTTCTTTTTATCGGCACACTACCCACGGAAAAATTTTTGAACGAAAACAGCGAGAAACCGCGGTTTAACGAATCGCAGTAATCAGCGGTTTTTCGAAACCGTGAAAGTCAGATCTTTTACGCGATTTTTCAAAATCGCCAAAAACCGCAGTTTCCACTGGTATTCAAAAACCGCATAAATGGCCTGACTTTCGTGGTTTCAAAAAATTGTTGATTGTCGCGGTCTGAAAATATTGCGGTTTTTACCAGTCTTGAAAAACCGCATAAAAGATCTGACTTTCGGAGTTTTCTAAAACCGCTGAAAACGGCGGTTTTTTGGAACGCGATATACCACGGTTTCCATAGCCACACCTGACACAGGTGTGACCAGACTTATCTGAACTTCGGAAAACGTTCAGGTGAGCTACCCTTCGAGGAGCACTGTAGTGGACTTTTTGAAGTTCCATTACCGCAAAGTTACTTTGCAGTAAGAGATAGAATAAGAAATTTAAGAATTTCATGAAAATAGTAAGGCACAACATCTTAGTCCTTACACATTCCATCACGGTGCTATAAGCACCAGACACACCACGGTTTTCAACAGAAAAATCGCGGTAACAAATAACGCGGTTATTCGACGGTATACCGCGATTTTAAAACCGTTCGATACCGCGGTTACTACTGATTATATTGCGGTTGTGAAAACCGTTAAATACCGAGGTATTTATCACCGCAGTTACTGATAATTATGCCGCGGTTTTGAGGACTATTGAATACCGCGGTATTGAGAACTGTGGTTATGAATATGCGCAGCGGGGTCTCAGAGAATCGTGGTTCCGAAAAACCTCCACCAACAGCGGTTATGTAATCGAAACTGCAGTTTCCTCTAGTAAAACTGCGGTCGAACGAAAAAAAAACGCGATTTCGAGCGGTTTTCCTAAATTTTTCGTGAGTAATATCAAGAACAAGAGAACTGACTTTAAGATTTACATTTTTATCGAATTTCAAAATCCATTAGGAGTTATCTTTGTCATTTGATTCTTATGAGTTTGAATAACTTTGCAATGATTTCCCCTTTATTTACATCATTAGTTTCTCTCTTTGGGTATATTACAAGAATTAACAATAACAAGATTTCAGTCTTAATATTATTCTATTTTATCTGCTAATGTGTTTTGATTATTTAAGACTGTAGCTTCTTTTCTCGATCTATTTCAACCTGTTCATGTTTCAATTCATCTAAATCAATTTATAATTTCTGGTAACACTAATGCTTTGTTACGTTAAATATCAACTAATAATATCTATTCAATGCGCTTTGTACCAATCAATGATTGGAACAATACCTGTTCATGTGATATCAGTGTTTGTTGTACATGTCCTGAAGAATTTTATTGTAGAACAGCAGAAAATTGTTTGTTCACCTGAATCTAGACTAAATCAAACGATACCGAGTTTGGTTGTAGGTTATCTACTTGTTGATTCTCTTCTTGCATCTTCGTTTGAATGTTTTTATAATGCATCATGTATTCAAATACGTATTGAATGGTATTCATTTGAATCACACAATGCTACAATAGATCCTTGTGTTCTCAATGTGACTACACTTGATCCAACAGTTGATGATCGTTTTTTCCTTGACACTACATTGAATAATATTGTTTCACAATTATTTATTGAAGATTGAACCAATTCTACTAATTTTAGTTCCTATTATAATTAATATGCACCAGATCAATATATTTACACCTATGAAGAACGGTTTAATAGACCTTATATTATTGCAACAATACTTGAAATGGTTAGTAGTCTTTCTGCTGTACTTCGAATATTGATCGCTCCTGTTGTGAAATTATTTCAACGAATGTATTATCATAATCATAGACCTCAAAAACACGTTGCAAGCGAATACCCCGTAGAAAGAGGTAACGATGAATATTATGCTATAGATTTTTAACAAAAACAAAAAAGATATTTAACTGTTCCAAACGCTTTTATGATACTACTATGCACTTTGAAATATAATGTGTTCCACTGTTTTTCAAATAACTTTTGATAGGAATATTATAGAGATCTGCAGTTTTCTCTTGAATACTGGAAACTGCAGATCTCTATAATATTCATATCAAAAGCTATTCAAAAAAGCTTGTTAGCGCAGCTCTTTCGGAGCTGAAATGTGGAACTCACGTATATCCTTCAACCTTCTTATCCTAATATATCATCCGTAAACTGAAAAATTTCTCGTCGACTGTAGTTGTTTTCACTAATAATCGATAAAAACAGCGAGAATTTATTATTTATTTCTACATTTAAAACAGAAAGTTTTTATTTTTTCTACAGGCGCTCTATTTTTGTTTGCATTGTTGCTATTCGCTCATTATTTTTCTTTTTTTTTTCAATTCGTGTTTTTTTAATTTGGCATTCTTATTATTATAATCATTAAATTAATTGACAAATAAGTCTGCTTTACATATTTACGATATCTACAGCAGATCTTACGCACCATCATATATTAATCAACTCACAAATAATGATGTTCATTAATTGTCAAAATTATAACTTGATCAATTTTACAAAAAATATTCCTCAAAATCTGACGCCTGTTATTCTCCATTGCTAAGGTCTGTAATGGGGAGGGGGGGGGATGTCTCTAATGTTCTCTTCCGTTGCTACGTGTCTGTAATGGGGTCCTGTCTGTAAGGGGAGGGGGTTGGGGGAGTGGGGAGCCGCCAAACCTCGAACTTAAAACTTACACTCACTATTTTCTTCGAAAATATACGTGAGTTCCACAAAATAGTTGAACACATTATATTTTGAAATGGATAATAATAATTAAGTTAACTAAGATTTTTGAGATCATCTACTTAATTTACTTGATTAATGATTAATCAACAAGAAAAATTTCCTTGTTTTTTTCTTCGTATTCTAACATATTCGTCGTAAGATTGCAATTGTTCTCACACAATTTCAACATTCTATTCGAGCCATCAACTTATATCGTAAAGTATAGAAAACTCGTTTACCAGAAACGTCGCAAACAATAGATGAAATATTAATTATATAACGTCATCAAATAGCTACTCGTTTTTATATTATCATTTTTTTTTGTCTTAGCATTAATAGTCATAATAACTTTTACTGAATTAAATTCACGAATACATTCTACGGCGATGTCATCTCTAATATAATTAATATTTGAACAATTACATGTTCGATATTCATCATCATTATCATGTCCGTATTGACAAATAGCAATTCAATATTCAAAATTTCTTTTTGTTAAACCAATTGCTCATCATCTAGTGTGTTCAAGTTATTTTATTTCATCTAATTTTATTGAGTTATTGTGAAACAACAAATCACTAAATAGTTATTATCGGAATGTAGATATGAAAATATTAAGTACACAATTTCGTCTTTTAGCATCATTTTGTTTTCTTGTAAAAAAAATATAATTGAACAAAAGATCGAAATATTTTCTATACAAAAATTTATTAGTTTTGAAATGTTAACACGTTATTATTTTCAAATTCAAATTAATGCTTTTATTGATAATTTTCTTATTCAAGCACCAACTAGTTTTCAACAAATACATAAATATATAATAGAAATGTTTCATACTAATTAACTACATAATATATTCTACACAAATTGGAATTGTACTATATCTACTTCTAATGATAATTATATTTTGTCAACAACTTCAATAATATACAACAATAGCAATAGTTCATGTTCATTTTCGTGTGAAATTATGTCAACATATTTAAGATCTCTCTGTATTGACTAGTTATAACAAGGAAGAAATATTGTCAAGTAAAAAGATTATTTATAGTAGTGATTAATTGTCATTTGTAGTTTTTTTTATAAATTGACTACTGTAGTTATATGAGAAAATAATTTTGCTAAATATGTGTTTATTCGAATGTTAAATACTAATGTAAAAATGATGACTCATATTTTCAATTGATTTCTTATAAAATTCTTTATATATACAAGTAAAATATATCCCGATTCTTTTTTTTTCTAACTGTAAAGTTCTCTTAACTAATAAAAGAGTGAAGTTAACAAATAATTTAAATCTCATATTGAGCAAGGTATCAGAAAATTGATGTCTTGATAAACGACATGAAATAGAATAGCGTTCTATATTTGGAGCAATCTATAGAATCATTAGAGCTATTTCTAATATAATTTTTGCAAACACATCAAGTGAAAGAAAATAGAGACTGGATAAGAGAACATATTTTATGACTATTCATTCCTTATTATTTAATATGTTGTCTTGAGATTAAAAAAAAGATCCGTGAAGTTGTTCCAGCACATAGTAAATATTTCATCTCTTTTGGAGGTCTTGTTATTGATTGTTTACCTAACTATGGTTTGCGTTTATCGACATTTGAATGTCTCTACAATTCAACATGCTTACAGAAATTATTTAACTTGATTAATAGTATATACTTCATTTCATCGCCTCTCAATATTTCAATATATACTCGTTTTACTCCTATATCATCAATATCCATTGAAACATTAATTGATGAATTATTTATTGAAACATGGCAAAATGAAACAAACTATTCGAATTATTTTTCAATTTGTGCATCATTAACATGTCGATATACTTATGTGAAACGAAACGATGTTCTCTATATATTTACAACATTTTTAGGTTTATATGGTAGATAACAATTGGCTTAAAACTTGTTGTCTGGTATAGTCTACATGTTAGTTTCAAAGTACAACAATGGTTGATTGGTCGTCGACGATACATTGAATTTATAAATCAAAACTGATCATATATGAGAAAAAACTATTGACATATTCATATATGTTATTCAGAACTTGAATAATTTCGCTCAAAATAAAATAGAACATTCGAAAGAAAACTTTTTAGAATCATGATTTCACAAATGTTCTTCAAGTTATCATGTCGAAAGAGACAGAACATTCATTCTTATCTTATTAGGATAATTTTCATGGATTAATAGTATACTACAATAATCATTTATATTTATATTATTTTTCAATTGATGCTTTGGTAAGAGAATAAGTAGTCTTCAAACACACTCAATAAGCATGGATGACATACATAACACTTTATATAGCCTGTTGGAGTAATTCAGATCGCTTGAAATAAAAGATTTTTTTTTACACAGATATTCCCAAATGTTCTCTACCGAAGCATGTAAAAATATTCCAAAGCAATCAATATTTTGAGTGTTTTTTTTTTTACAAAAATGCTAAAGGTCCTATCTAAGTGATTCAAATAGCTCCAATCGGGAATAATTAGGATCACTCCAGGAAAACTGGTTAGAGTCTCACTTCTCCAACGTCTTACTCTTTATTAGTAATTTGCAATTAAATAAAAGATATGCCATTCAATAGCCTAAAGTATCTTCGGTGAGACCTGAAAAATGATTCCCAATCGGTCAAACTATGGCAGGTGTGACAGGATCTGGTGTAGGTGTGGGTATCTGAGTATATGCCGATTTCGACTGAAAAGAACACCTACACCCACATCCATATCCATCCTAGTTTAAGAAGAATTTGTCTAGGATCAAGTGAATCCATTCATATGTCAAATAGTGTTCTTCATTTCGATGATGAATGTACCGAAGAGAAGAATGTTGTGATGAGCAGTCCGTTGAAATATTTTACCTTGATTGGACGTTGAATTTCATGTAACATTCCTATTCTCAGATTAATAGCAAACGAGAAAAATATCCATATTAGTATGTCTTTATTTTTTCTCAACTATTCATAATCTAAGATTTCGTATTTCCGAAAACATAATACAAGGTTCATTTCATATAATTCGCTGCATACTTTCAATGGAGAGGCAAACACTTAAGTACAGTGATTCATTTTTTTTCAGGTATACCTATGAATTTAAAAAAAATTTCTACGAATTAGTAAATAAAGCATTTAATGTAATTTACGTTAGTTTATCCTTGTTTATTGCGAAATGAATAGTTAAAATTATACAAAGATAAGAGAGAGATAGAATGTAGAAAATGGGCAAACTGTAACAGCTAAATCAGCGGATCAGAGACAACTAATCAAACCATCGTCGTCTTCTCGCCACGTATTCTAATAGTCCATGCCAAAATAAGTAATATACTTATGTCGAATCGTAAAGCCACTACTGTAGTAACCACCGAATGCACAAAAACTTCAAATGTGATAGTATGAATTGGTCAAGTAACATCGAGACCAGATCATTTTGACGTTCAAGGATCTATTCAAGGTCATTTCTTGGATGCCATTGTCTTTTGGCAACAATGCGTAGTGCAACAACTATTACACTTACTTCTCCAGCTGTTCAACTCGCTTAAGCAGCAGAATGTTGTTATCTGTCGAAAGAGTGAAGATCCTATTGCATGAAATGCAGAAGAATACAATGACGTAACTGTAGCAAACCATTGTTAATAGATATGATTTCATGTTACAATAATGAAAGCGCTGCACTCTTTATACTATTGACTGATTATGTCAAGAATTTGGCTATAAAAGATAGAACTCATGGCCTGATATAGCGAACGATCGTTCTTAGAATTCGAGTTTGCCTTTCGTCGAAATTGAAAATAAAATTTGAGTGAATGATAAGAGGATAGATGATGATCATGAGTCAAGAAAAGATGCAAAAGCGAAACTCTTCCAGATAAACCCGTTAAGAAAGAGCAC